AAGCGCATAGTGAGGGTCTGCTGGGAACGTCTTGCAGAGGCTCCTGTTCACCAGGTCTTTAACTTGCATCTCCGGCAGAACTTCAATTGCATACCGGGGGAGGTTGGGAACATCGAGTCTGAATGGACACTGTTCCGGACCTCCATTGTGGAAGCATGGGAGGAGTTTGGTGAGGCCATGGAAAGTGACTTTCGGTCGGCCTCAAAAAGGTTCTGGCAAACCATCCGGAATATCCGGAGGGGGAAGCAGCTCCTGGTTCCTACTATTTATAGTGGGGAGGGGGTGCTGTTGATCTCACCTGGGGACATCACCCGGAGGTAGAAGGAATACTTTGAGAACCTCCTCAACCTTGCCTCAGATACATCTACGCACACTGCCTTTGGGACATCTGAGGGCACAGAGCCCGAAGGGGCTGGAGTGGACTTGCCCATCACTGGGGCTGAGGTGGCCAGGGTGATTAAAGAGCTATGTAGTGGCCGGGCCCTGGGGGTCTATTCTGGGGTACTGGGGAGGAGGGTGATATCGATAGTAGAATCTTGGATTCAGGAGGAACAATGCGGTGTTCGTCCTGGCCGTGGAACACTGGACTAACTTTATACCCATGTTTTGTGGACTTGGAAAAGGCTTACGACTGGGTTCCCCGAGTAGCTCCGTGGGGGGTGCTTCGGGAGTATCCACTGTTGTTGTTGTGGGCGATTTGGTCCCTGTATGAACGGAGCAGAAGCTTGGTCCGCATTGCCGGTACTAGGTTGGACGTGTTCCCAGTGCGGGTTGGGCTCCACCAGGGCTGCCCTTTGTCATCGGTCCTGTTTATAATATTTATGGACGGGATTTCTAGGTGCAGCCAGGGTGTTGAGGGTGTCCAGTTTGGTGGCCTCAGGATTGCCTCACTGCTTTTTGCGGATGATGTCATCCTGTTGGCTTCATCTGTTGGGGACCTCCAGCGTGCTCTGGGGCAGTTCACAGCTGAGTGCGAAGCGGCGGGGATGAGGATTAGCACCTCCAAGTCCGAAACCATGGTTCTCAGCTGGAAACAGGTGGATTGCCCTCTTCAGGTCAGGGAGGAGGTACTGCCTGAAGTGGAGGAGTTCAAGTATCTCGAGGTTTTGTTCACGAGTGAGGGTAGGCATGATCGAGAGCTGGACAAACGGATCAGTGCAGCGTCTACAGTTTTGCCGGCACTTAACTGGTTCGTCGTGGCTAACAAAGAACTGAGCCGGAAAGTAAAGCTCTTGATCTATTAGTCCATCTTTGTCCCTACCCTCACCTATGGTCATGAACTATGGGTAATGACAGAAAGAATGAGATCGCGGATACAGGCAGCCGAAATGAGGTTTCTCCGCAGGGTGTCTGGGCTCTCTCTTAGAGATAGGGTGAGAAGTTCGGATATACGGGAGAGTCTCAAAGTAGAACCGCTTCTTCTCCACGTCGAAAGGAGCCAGTTGAGGTGGTTTGGACATCTGGTGCGGATGCCTCCTGGGCAGCTACCCGGAGAGGTTTTCCATGCCTGTCCTACAGGGAGGAGGCCCCGGGGCAGACCAAGGACACGCTGGAGGGATTATATCTCTCGGTTAGCCTAGGAACGCCTCGGCATCCTTTCTGAAGAGCTGGTAGAGGTAGCTGGGGAGAGGGAGGTCTGGGTATCTCTCCTGAAGTTGCTACCTCCGCGACCCGAACCCCGGACAAGCAGAAGTTAATGGATGGATGGATGGATTACTGTATGTAACTCATTAATGTAAACAATAGTGGTCCTAAAATTGAACCCTGCGGTACCCCATTATGAACGCAGGCCCACTGTGACATTGTGCCTCTAATAACTACTCGCTGCTTCCTGTCTGTTAAGCAGTTTTCGATCCAAGCTGCCACAGTTCCTAAAATCCCTCCAGCTTTGAGCTTAAGCAAGAGCCGTTTGTGGGGGACAACATCAAAGGCCTTCTGGAAATCTAAGTAGATCATATTGTAGGCTTTTTTTGTGATCAATTTCTCTTGTAGCTTCCTAGAATAACTCAAGTAAATTAGTTAAACTGGATCTACCTCTCCTAAATCCATGCTGGCTATTTTTTCAGCTCTGCATTAGATTCTGTTCTTTAATTTTTTTTAACCCCCTCTCGCCAAATTAACAAAGTGTGAACTTTTCTTCACTCATTCCAGTCAATAACTTTTAATTTCTCATATTTTCTTATGTGTCTTTTTTTCTATATATACCTTCTGCAAATTCACACTTCCACTACCTTCATATACATTACATCCTTTTATCCCTTTTTGTCTTTGTACTTATATTCTTTATTTTATTTTGAAACTCTGTTCGTTGATTTCATCCCACACAATGGGAACCATGCCTTGCCACAATAATTTCCTTTAGTATGAGTGAAGTTTGTTTCCTTATCTCAACCTGGCTACTCCGCCAGATTCAAACCAGCTGAGCCTCACATTAACCTGTGGGAAGCAGGTTACCGGGGGGGGGGGAGGCCCGTTGGATGCCCAGTGAGCCACCGTGCCTGCCCCCCCCAGTTCCCAGTATAAGGTAGCAGAGCCGCGTATCAGGTGGACCGAGCAAGTTGAGACTGTAGGCATGCACTTGGGACCGGCAGCGCGTGAAGAGTCTGTTTGTGCCATCAAAGGCTCCGTGGTGACTGTGGAGCCAAAGGAGGGGCCCAGTAGGGGCCGCCAGGCTTCCCTCCCCAGAAAGCCACGCCGCTCCCATCCCCCAGAGCTTACAATTAGCCTCTTATCTGGAAGACATTTTCTTCCAGTTACAAAAGTCCTTTTGCGTCAGTCCAATATGTGCTCAACTATTCCTGTAAAATCTGGCTGACTTCATTCATGTGGGGAGTAGCGGGAAGAAAAGCCTCACGATGCATTGTGCCCCGGAACCTAAACTGCCGCCCCCACTGGCGAGATCGTATCCATGGCGAGTCCCCGGACCCATAGGAACGCATCCTATTGGCTGCTGCACTTTCGATCGCCATCGCTCCTTTCCCTTCCTCGGGACGGAGGAGGTTTTACATGTTGGAGTTTTTCGTGGCTGAAATGCAGTGTGCGGGCTGAACACTGCTTACAGCGGCAAGGTTCCTTTCCGTGACCCCTGACCCCACGGGCATCGTGGGCTCATCATAATACAGCGGATGCTTCCCTGAAAGACCCCGACGGTGTTGCGGCTGCAGAAACTTCTGAAATTTATTTATTATAGTGGCTGCTTCCGGGGTATATATGATTCATAATGCATTGATCATTAAATCCTCCAGTTTTGTTTTTTTTTTTGCATTATTTATTTGCCGAAGGGATGTTTAAATTCTGCTTTTCAGCAAGGGACTCTGAGCTCATCACTCTGAACAGAAGCTCCCCGCTGAATTCCTGAATGCATCCCGAAGTCATTCCCATTTGGCTCTGTTGTTAGGATATTGGCTGATATATATATACTGATGCCTCAGGCAATTTATTAATATCCAAGAATTAACCTAAGGCATTTTTATTTCTGCCATACTCTTAATTTTTAAAATAAACATTTAGAAATATAATCCATGGTGCTTTTCTTTTTTCATGTACAACAAATATCTACCTTTTATTATTTAAGTTTAAATATTTCTTTATAACATAAATACTGTTCAGCCAAAAAAAAAAAAGTCGCAGTTTGACTTTAGATCAGCAAATGCTTAAGAGCCAATGACTGGATCATTATTACAGCTCAGCAACGTTATGCAGCAGTAAAGTAAAGTCAGCTGAGTACCTGAATCTACTGGCCAGGTTACACCTCCATCCATCATCAATGGATTTTTTCTTCCCTGTTGGCATGGACATATTCCAGGACGAGAATGCCAAGGTTCATCAGCCTCGAAAGAGTGGTTCAGCGAGCATGAGGAATCATTGTCATATATGAACTAGCCACCACAGAGTCTTGACCTTTACCACATGTGCTGAAGAACACTTTATGGAGTGGTTCAACTCAAACTTGTCGTCAATACAAGATCTTGGCAAGAAATTAATGCAAATCTGGATGAAAAAATGTAGAGATGTTGCATAAGCTTGAGGAAACAATGCAGTGACGAATGTGCACCATAATCCAAGCTAACGGCGGTCCAACAAAATATTTAAATGGCAAGGCATTTTTTTCAAGATGGATATGGTTGCTTTGCTGAAATAAGAAAAAAGACTGAATGATTTGATCATTAATTGGTCCATCCAGAAGGGTATTTAGATCCATCACAAGTGACCCCCTCCCCGTTACGGTACCTTCCGAAAGTATTCAGTTTTTCCTGTATTTATTTTAATAAATCATCAGGAATTGGCATATTCATTTTGTCTTCAAGGGGATTTTTTTGTCCATCAAAAAAAAGATGAAATCTGAAAAGTTTGTAAGCATCAGAAGTGTCTGGACACTTCAGGAGAGTCAGCAGGCATCCATGTTGCTCTGGTGGGACAAAGAGGGGAATCTCGTCCCCGTGACACTGAGGGCTGACAGCTGTCTCCCTGCCGTAGACGTTACACATATTGAACGGAGAGGCTTTACCTGCACTGCTCTGCAGCCTAAATTACTGCCATTCCAGTTACCGTGACAACAACATGACGACGTTTAGCACACTTTGGTGCTGTGTAAGTACTGTATTATGCTGTGAACAAGCATAGAGATGGAGTCCTGAGACATGACCTGCCCCCCCACAATCCATCGATCCAAACCCTATAGAGCTGGTTTGGGATGAGCTGGATCGAAGAGTAAGAGCAAGGTACCCAACCTGTGAACTTGTGAGAACTAAGCAAATGGGGGCTGTTTTGAAGCATCTAAAATTTTAGCAAGTCTAAATCTGTCAAACACTTCTCTGGGTCACTGACATATTTGATCTGTATAACTTCATTGCAATGATGCCTTTTACTGTAGGTTGAATAAAAGCTAAAACAGGGACAAATGCATTAAAAGCAGGTGTGTCCAGACGTCCGACTGGTACCGCACCTCCTTTCATCCGTATCGTACGATTTAACTCTGTCTTTCCTCTCTTTATGTCCAGGTTCCCACCATGTTCATCTGCACCTCCGCTTCTCTCCCGCAAATATCCTGCAAGAAGATGTTCTTTCTGCTTCTGGCAGTGAGCAGTCTGAGCCTCTTTCTGCACAACAGAGGCCGTTTCATCTGGTGAGATTTGGAGATGGGGGCCTTGGTCCCGCAGTTTTGGTCTCGGAAACGCTACCGTCAGTATTGACACAGCGTTCGGTTCTTTGCTGCGTGACCAAACGTGCTGTTTTTGTCCACCCCGTAGGACTATAAAATCGTTCAAATGGGCCAGTAACACCTCGTGCAGCCTGCCCTCTGCAGCCACAAAGCCGAAGCACATGAGCATCGCCTTCCTGAAGACGCACAAGACGGCCAGCAGCACCATGCAGAACATCCTGTTCCGCTTTGCCGAGCACCACAACCTCACCGTCGCCCTTCCACAGAGGCCATGCGATCACCAGTTCTGCTACCCATCCTCCTTTAACTCCAAATTCGTCCACCCCTACACACTGCCCGCCCACATCATCACCAGTCACATGCGCTTCAACCACAGCGAGGTACAGCGCATCATGCCTAATGACACCATCTACATCACCATCCTGCGAGAGCCGGCCTCCATGTTTGAGTCGCTGTTCAGCTACTACAACCAGTACTGCCCGAGCTTCAAGCGCGTCCCTGACAGCTCCCTGGAGACCTTCCTGAAAGAGCCCTGGCGTTACTTCCGTCCCACCGAGAAGGACTCCATGTTCGCCCGCAACGCGCTGACCTATGACCTGGGCGGGGATAACAACCACCGGGCCAGCGACAAGGCTTATGTGAAGGACTTCATCGCCAACATCGAGCGCATCTTCTCCTTGGTCATGATCTCCGAGTACTTCGATGAGTCGCTGGTGCTTCTGCGACACCTGTTCTCCTGGGAGCTGGAGGATGTGCTCTACATCAACCTGAACATGCGCACCCCCAGCTCCCGGAGGTCCCTGCAACAGGGGCTTCCGGCCAGGATCCGCATCTGGAACGCTCTTGATACCCAGCTCTATAACCACTTCAACGCCAGCCTGTGGCGCCAGCTGGATGCCCTGGGGCCGGACTGTGTGGCCCGGGAGGTGCAGCTGCTGCGCGAGGCCCGTGACCGCCTGGTGCGCGGCTGTTTCGGGGGCCCGCAGCCTCAGCCGCGCCCAGCGAACCAGATCAAGGACAAGGTGTTGCGTCCGTGGCAGCCCAGCTCCAAGGTGACTATCATGGGCTACGATCTGCCCCTCAACGCCTCCTACCTAGGCGCCAAGCCGGGCAGCGAGTCACGTGACCGCTGCCTGAAGCTCATAATGCCGGAGGTGCAGTACTCGCAGCGCTTGCTGCAGATACAGTCGCTGCGGTACCGCAGGCGTTTATCCGATGTTCTGCGCCGCAAACTAGGCAGGGCTCCCTAACCACGCCCATTTCTAGGGTCTTCGTTGACCCATCCCCCCCGCCCCCCCCCCCCAAACCCTTCACCCCCCCCCCACTCTGGAAACTTGAGCTGGGCGGACAGAAAAGCAATCACTGTCCCCAAGAGCCCGCCTGTAGGGCCAGGAATGTAGGCCTTTCTCTTCTCTGGAACACAGAGACCTGCACACGTCGTACTCAGGCAGTCCCCTCTCTTACTTGCTGTCCTTCCACAGATTTTTTCAGTCAGAGGGTGTCGGATGAGTCGTCCCCCCCTCCCCCGGGTCCTATAGCTGTCCCTGAGGGACCCGCGGACTCGCTGACATCATAGCCTCCCCTTTGTTGTCGTTTTTTTTGCCCGTTCCTCCATTTATTCTCCTGATTGAGACGTTAACTCATGTTATCCTACCAGGTATTTAAGTTTGCAACTTCTTTGCCATGGGGCTTCTTTACAGGTATAATTGCATTTTGAGCATCTTTTTGTTAGATACACTGGAATTTGTGTTTTTTTGAATGCTGAGAAAGACCAGAGATGAAGGTGGGACTTGAGGAATCCAGAGTTTTTTGTTCAGGAGCCCTTTCTGTCTCCTGGGGGAAGTCATGTGTGCTCTGCAGACCAGGACTTAAGCTGGACTGAAGCTGGACTGAAGCTGAACTGAAGCTGTCCCCATTTAATCCGTATGCTGTCCACTGGAGGACCTGCACTGCCTTTAACTGCAGTGATTACTTGTTGGCACCTGATTCTTCTATGTGCCTCATGTTTGCCCTTGACTGTCACACGATTTTGGTCCGAAATCAACTGTGAAATGAAAAAAGGTGATTTGTTACTGATAATAAAAATAGACTGATGTGCTAAAGGATGGACAGTAAAGAGAGAGAGAACTTGTTAAGAGGAAGCTGGCAAAGGCAATTAATATCAACCATGTTAAGACAAAGTTAGCGTCCCGATGATGGATGTGCGAGTTCCGTGCTGCACATGTTCTTTCGATCATCTGTGAGGTCGCAGTGGGGGTCAGTGTGTTCATTCAGTCTACCGGCCATATTCTTAATGCCTATATATTGCATCCTGGGAAATTAATGTCTATTAAATATATGGGCACTGTAAAAGACCTACCCTTTGTGGTCTGTACTTAAACGCTAGGAGTATTAGAAACAAAATTCGTGATTTAGAGGCTTTAACATCATCGGACACTTACGACATTATAGGAATAACAGAAACAAGGATGAGTGACAATGATGGAGAACAATATAACAGAATAACAGAAACAAGGATGAGTGACAATGATGGAGAACAATATAATATGGATGGTTATACGTTGTTCCGGATAGACCGGATAGGCAAGAAGGGAGGTGGTGTTGCAGTATACGTAAAAGAAAACTTGCAGGCAAGGGAGCTCACTGATAAAAATAAAAGTACAGAAGCTGTATGGATAAAACTGGATGGTAAAGACTCAAATGGCCTAATTGTCGGGGTTTGTTATAGAGCACCTAATGTAGCTGTAGAGGAAAGCAGAATGTTATATGATGATATCAGGATTATGAGTAATAAAAATGATGTGGTGGTTATGGGTGATTTTAATTTACCTGGAATACAGTGGGACATTGTTGCTGGCTCTACTGTAAATAAACTTGAGATGGTGGAATTAGTACAGGATTGTTTTTTTACTCAGTTTGTTTATACCCCTACCAGGGGAGAAGCCCTTCTTGATCTCGTTTTGTCTAACAACCAAAATAGGATTGGAAAATTAGAGGTTTTAGAACCACTGGACGGTAGTGATCACAACATGATTAAATTTTCGGTTAATTTTAGTGTCTGAAAAGCAAAGTCCAAAACGTCGTTCATGACCAATATATGTATAACTGAGGCTGATGTGGTACTAAGCCTAGCTAAACTCAAAATAAATAAATCACAGGGCCCTGATGGCATCTTACCTATAGTTTTAAAAGAGATGAGGGATATCGTTAGCCAACCTTTAACTTTAATATTCCAGAAATCGTTATCTGTGGGTGTGGTACCATCAGATTGGAAGCATGCTAATACAACACCCATATTCAAAAAAGGGGATAGAAGTAATCCAGCAAACTATAGGCCAATCAGTTTAACTAGCATTACTGGAAAAATAATGAAAGCTATAATCCAAGAGAAAATGATAGATTACCTGGATGCAAATAACATTCTGAGGGATAGCCAACATGGATTTAGGAGAGGTAGATCCTGTTTAACTAATCTACTTGAGTTCTTAGAGGAAGCTACAAGTGAAATTGATCACAAAAAGGCCTATGATGTGATCTACTTAGATTTCCAGAAGGCCTTTGATGTTGGCCCCCACAAACGGCTCTTGCTTAAGCTCAAAACTGCAGGGATTTTAGGAACTGTGGCAGCTTGGATCGAAAACTGGTTAACTGACAGGAAGCAGTGAGTAGTTATTAGAGGCACAATGTCACAGTGGGCCTGCGTTCATAATGGGGTACCACAGGGTTCAATTTTAGGACCACTATTGTTCCTAATTTACATTAATGATATTGACCCCAATACATACGGTAAACTGGTTAAATTTGCAGAAGACACCAAGGTGGGTGGGGTAGCAGATACTAAACTAGCAGCAAAGAGGCTACAACTAGATCTTTATTTAATTAGCGATTGGGCTGATACCTGGCAGATGAAACTTAACATAGATAAATGTAAGATAATTTCAGGGAGGGAGCAGAAATATAATGGCCTCCTTTCATTTGTAAATTTCCTATGTTCTTATGTTCTCCTGAACCTTTGATGATAACATCCTGCAAACCCGGAGTACCATGTTTCTGCGACATGGGCTGGGGGGGGGCAGGGGGAGGCTGCTGTTCTGTGTGATGCAAAAGAGGCTAAATAAACAGAGAGTGAGCTGAGGGAGCCAGTCCGTGCTCGTCAGGGGATGAAGGGATCCTGGGAAGGGTTTAGCCAGTGTCGTGATTCCCCCCCCCGGCCTGGGCTGATTGCTCACAGACACCACCATGTTCAGCCAGCGTCGCGATCCACTCCCCCCCCCCCCCCCCACCCCGCCACTTCTCACCCTGCACATTTAACTGAGATTTTTTCATGTTAAAAATATAATCAATGAATTATTAATATTGTAATGACTAGAGGACTCTGATTACTTGTCACATCCTGGGTGTCATTATCGTAATTTTCCGGATTGCATTTTCGGCAGCCCTAGATCAGGCTGAACACCTGGCCGCGTGAATGCGGTACATTGTGTACGCAAGCTGAAGTACTGAGGTACGCGGTTTGAGACTCGCGGCACATTATCCGAAGGAAAGGTAAGGAAAATGCGGGTAAGTCGGTGACGATGGGCTGTGAATGGGCTCAAATGTGCAAGACATCAAAACAGTAATAAATTAATGGCAATTATGTAAAAAGTGTAAAAGAAATTATATAGGCTGAGATCAATCATAACGATGTTTTGCTAGATAAGGCCCAGCCCTACTCGGGACCTCTTTCTGGCTCTCCTTGTCCACTAGCCTCCTCTTTCCATGTTGTTTTGAAACTGTATCGTCTACAGAGTGCTTCGTTCTTGGAGCACGTTAACACCACCGCCAAAGGGATTGGTCTGCATTCGATTGTTTGTCCCTAATCGTTATGGTAAACTGGCACAGAAGCGACCTCGCATGCTCTCAGACCCATTCGATCTCAAGCTGGAACCCTGATACTGCCTTTTTCCACCTTATTCTCCACCATATTTGTTATCCTCTGGACGTTCATTGCACACATACTGGCTGGTAACCAAAACCCCCTGTAAGAACCCACTATTGATACTGAATTATTAGGTTGGGGGTGGGCAGGCGCTTTTGTCTTCATCTTTGTAATCTAACCCTCCATCGCATTAATGGGCTCATTCATCTGTTCCCTCTGAATCCCTCCANATTTGGAGATGGGGGCCTTGGTCCCGCAGTTTTGGTCTCGGAAACGCTACCGTCAGTATTGACACAGCGTTCGGTTCTTTGCTGCGTGACCAAACAGCACCCCAAGATTGCAAAATTATTTACTAAGTATGAATATAATAATATTTGTTAATGGACTTAATTAAGAGAAGCTGTTTAGTGGTTATGGACAGTGTTAGGTTTCGTGTATTACTTGAGGCTGCCTTTAAGGGACCAGAATCTAGAACCTTCCCAAGTGATTGGCCAATCACAGGGGTGGGTCATTGCTCAGATTCCAGCATCACCTGCTTCTCGTGCTATTCATCTCCTGGACTTTCATAAAATAGCTGAAGATAATATCTAGCAAACCCGAAGTACCAGGTTTCTGCGACATGGCCTGAAGGAGAGGGCCAACACATGGGGGGGGGGGGCTGCTGTTCTCTGTAATGCGAAAGAGGCTAAATAAACAGAGAGTGAGCTGAGGGAGCCAATCCGAGCTCGTCAGGCATGTTCAGCCAGCGTCGCGATCCACTGCCCCCCCCCCACCCCGCCACTCCTCACCCTGCACATTTAACTGAGAATATTTCATGTTAGAAATATAGTTGGGGGTGGGCAGGCGCTTTTGTCTTCATCTTTGTAATCTAACCCTCCATCGCATTAATGGGCTCATTCATCTGTTCCCTCTGAATCCCTCCATTCTCGTGGCTCCCGTTCGATATCGTGTCCCTCGGGCCCCTGAGTTGAGTTGGTACGTCTCAGTGTTGTGTTGGATTAATGGTCTCATGCAGATGTGCACCCGATCTCCCGCAGTCCCTGCACACCAGGAAGTCGGGATTTTCCTTGCGATTTTACGAAGCCGCAGTAGTGGTCACTCATGTCACCCTTGGGCTGCTTGTTTCCCCAACCGAACATGACGTGTGTGTACAGACTGCACCGTAGATGGTCTCAACCTGACAGATTTGCCGAATCTTCAGGAGGTCCCACCTGTGCCGCTTTGTGTGGACAGACTGCACTCAGTCATTTACACCTTCAGGCTATACTTTAGTTACTTCAGTAGATCAAACAAATTTTAAATCAGAGATAAAGCAGTTTGGAAGCTTGGAAG